AAACACAAGGCTTCCATGTTCTCTTCCTTGGAGCCAGGAGGCATCACCCTCCCTGCACATAAATGTGTATAATCAACCAGGAAACTCACCTGAGCTTTGGTGTCTAGAGTTGTCATTGAGGTTTCATCACATAGGCATGATTGATTGAATCGCTGGCCACATGTTTGAACTTAATCTTCCCTCCCCAGAGGTTGATCAGATATCATGCGGCTTAAAGCCCCAACCCTCTAACTACCTAGTTGGTCTTTGGATGTTACCAGTCCCCCTAACCAGACATCTTTTTAGCATAAGCTCATCTTTAGTCCAAGGGACCTACCATAATTAACAACGATACTCTTATCACTCAAAAAATTTCAGGGCTTGGAGGCTATCTCCCAGTAATCAGGGTCAAAGACCAGCCAAATTCTTTATTATACAACAGAAAGCTTTACAGTTTTTCATTAAATGTGGGGGGAAAAAATCTTTACTAGTATTTACTCTTCATGTCTATACTATTTTATCATAATTGCATCAAAGGTCAGTTTAGCCCTTACAAGAAATTTTGTTAACTTCCATTAAAAAACAAAATTCTCCTCTTTTAAGAAATGGCCCTGATAATGAACTTATACATAGATGTATCTATGAATCTGAATGTGCCTTATCATTGAGTAAACTCCCAGTGTTGGAATAATACTATCAACAGAACCCCACAGCCATTAACACTGATATTGAAATTTCCTGGGAACCTATAAGTACTTAGCAGAATGAAGAGATATGCTTTCATATGTATATAAAACAAATATAAATGAAAATTAATATAGCATTGCATTGTAGTAATATCAATTTACCTGAACACTTCCCTATGAAAATTTTAATTGCCCCGTGTTGCTTCATTACTTTTGGTACATTGAATATATGAGTTTGGGTAGAACATTTGATTTTAGGACTTTGGATTTAAACATAGTTGTCTGGTTTCCCTGGGTTATCTAGTTATCAGCTTTTAATATATTACAAAATAACATTCTGTTCATTTTGGAATATTTTCATTTTTTTAAATAGTTTTAAACCCATAATGACAACAATAGATAAAGTGACATCTAAATTTTCTCATTCCTGATTGCAGTTATATGCATATAATACGCATTTAAGTAGGAGAGATTTTTTTTAGGTCACTTTGGAGATTAATCCAGATGTTTCACAGAGAGTACCAGTGTTGCTCATTCACACAGCTGTAAATCAGAGCCAACCAATATTTTCCATGTGTTTTCAAAATGAATTCTTTAATCTACCAACAGTGCACCTTTCAACAGCACAATGTTCATAATTGTGAAGGTTTGAAAGCTACTTTATCTGCACATTCATAATTCAAATGAATGAGGTGATGGGATATATCTAAAAGGCACTATGTCCTCTGATTGCCCCTTAAGGCTGCTAGTGTTTTGTATCCATTTCAACCTGAAAGAGCAGTCATAGGATAGAAAAATATGATGAGAAGTCAGCAGTTTTATTTTTCCATGTGTCAAATTCAGTGTTGAACTGCTGAAAGTTTTAACACCCTAATTGTGAAGTCATTTATTTTATTCCAGCATTACTCAGAAGCCATAAATTGCTACAAGATGCCAGCCGTTTATTTAGCCTTAAAACACATCAAATGTTTCTCTCTCGATGCCCCGTGATTGTTCCGTGTTAATTGCCTTTGAGAATGGTCTTAGTCAAGAAGGCAGGGGATGCTTATCCAGCAGTTCACTACCAGCATTAAGGATTTTAATTGTGCTAGACAGACATGACGGGCAATTATTGAATGTTGTTACACATCGGAAAATAAAAAGGGAGTGCTAAGCATTATATTCTGTTGCAGTTTTGTCTCAGGGCCGAAATATATCTTTTAATGATTTAATACGTTGAGTTTTATTGGAGAGATCTTTTCTGGAATATGCTGCTGAGAGATCTTGCATAAAAGTGTTAAGTGTTATTCCTTGATAATACAACATGAATCAGTCTGAGGTCATACATGTTAAATCTCACTAATGCCATAATACTTCAACAGATAAAATGGAAAGAAAGAATTTCCATTTATCTGTTACTATGTGAAGCAGTGACATGAAAGATTATGTGTTTCTACTTTCCACTACAATTACTAAATAACAAAAGGTTAGAGGTTTACTCTTAAAGTCATTTTTAAATTTAACAAGGTGGAAAAATCCAACTCTTCTAAAAATATTTGAATAACATTACCTTTGAAATACTACTGTCCTTTTGCCAAAGCTATTGATAATATTTGGAAATAATTGGGATTTTAAAAAAATATTGGACTTTTATAAATAATCAGTTTGATGTCAGAATGGCATTGATTTGGAAATTAGACATTTTTACAGTTTGATTCTATTTCTTAAACTATTACTATGCAACACAAAACTATTATGTTAAAAAATTATTACTGGCCCCATCAGAAGTTACATTTTTAAGCATCTCATGCTGTTTTAGATAAATTCATTTATTGGCTGTGCTATACGAAAAGGAGAGTGGAATTTGAAATATATTTTGACTCAGAATAGTGAGATGAGCCTTTGTTTCCTCACTTCAAGCCATAATTAAAGTCAAAGTATAAGATTTAAGTAGAAATTTGAAGGTTGTTATGCTTTTCAAAAATTTGGTATAAACATTATTGTAAAGTACTCCTTCAGTTCTTTATTGGACTTTCCTTTGGTTCATTATCAATACTCCAAAGCCGCCTTCAGTATCAGAAGCGCATTCAAAACTGAACATTCGAGTCGTCTTTCTGTCTCCAATGCTTCACAGCTGACAAAACCCAGGGTGGCACATCTGTCTTCCTGAAGATTATCTGATATTCATTCCTCCTTTTTTAATTTTTCAATTACAGTTGGCAAACAATACTGTATTATGTTCAGGTTTACAATATAGTGACTTGGACATTTGTATAACTTACGAAGCGATCCCCCAGATAAGTCTACCTTACATTTATGCTCAATTGATTTTCAACAGGTGCCGAAACAATTCAGTGTAGAAAGAATAGTCTTTTCAGCAAATGAGCCTGGAAAAACTTGATAATCACACGCAAAAGAATGAAGTTGGACACTCTTTTATTATATATATAAATTAAATAAATCTTATAGCTACATATAAGAGCTAAAGCCATAGAACTCAGAAGAAAACAGGTGTAAATCTTCATGACCTTGACTTAGATAATAGTTTAACTGGATATGGCATCAAAAGTCAAGCAACCAAAGAAAAAGTAGATAAATAGGATATCATTAATATTGAAAGCTTTTGTTCTTCAAAGGATACTAAAATTAAAAAAGACATAAAACTTTTAACAAATGTAGAAATTGGAATACTCATACCTTGCTGGTGACATTGTAAAATGGTGCAGTAACTTTGGAAAACAGTTTGGCACTTCCTCAAAGACTGAAATTTAGTTACCATATGACCCAGCAATTTCCATTTCACTCCCAGATACATACCGAAGAGAACTGAAAGCATTTTCACACAGAAACCTGTACACAAATGTTCACAGAAGTGTTATTTATAATGTGCAAAATGTGGAAACCACTCCAATATTCACCAACTGATGAGTGAAGGAACAAAATATGATATATCCATACAATGCAATAGTCATAAAAAGGAATGACACGTGCTAAACAAAGCATAGACAGACCCTGAAAACATTATGCTAAGTGAAAGAAGCCAATCACAGAAGACCATGTAATGTTTGATTTCATATTACGAAATATCCAGAATAGGCAAATTCTTAGAGACATAAAGATAATGATTGGTTGCCAGAAGCAGGGAGGGGAAAATGGGAAGCGACTGCTAATAGGTATAGGGTTTCTTTATGTGGTGATGAAAATGTTCTGAAATTATATGGTGGCAATGGTTGCACAACTCCAAAAGTATATTAAATACCAAAATGTGAGCTGACTTTTATGGTATATGAATTATATCTCAATAAAATTTTAAAAAATTTATTTAGAGTTCCGAGTACAAATTGTTTATATTATAATCTTTTTCAAAATTAAATCCTTCATGTTGATGGAAAAGGGTAAGACAGAGTGTTTTCTTGCTTTAAAAACAACTACTCTCCACAGTCAGAGTATATGACTCTTGACCAGAAGAATTTTGCTTTTCTTATATATTTGCCTTGAGAACAATAGTAATAAATTGAAGTAATGAATCGCCAAGTTGATGGTAAGGGACTGTTCAAGAAAAATGCTCCCATTTCTCAAAACTAATCTGTAAACTATTAAGTTAATTGGCTATATGATTTGATGGAGTGATACTGGACTAGACCTCAGAAACCTTTCCTCACATCTCACTGTATGACCTTGAACTTGTCAATTATCTCTCTGCATTTGTTTTCTTATCTGTCCAGTAGAATATCAATACCTGCCCAATATGTTTATAAGATTGTCAAGGGAATCAAATGAATACAAGATGTGAAGGTGCTTTGAAATTGTCAGCACTATAAAAATAGGAGACATTATTTAACATCCTTCATTTTTCTTCTTCTGACTTGATTTTCGAAGAGAGGAAACATAAGGTGCTAAGTTAAGTGGTTCCCGTTGGATAGTGATTGAAAGGGCCTGGCTTTCTTCTTCAAGTTTCGCTTGGACTCAGAAACTTGAACTTGTGTGACATTAACGGGCAGGATCTTGTAGAAAACTGTTATAATTTTTTTAGTGACTCATCCTGGCAGCATGAGAATGATATGGCAGCAGACAGGTTATTGTCAATTAAACAGAACCTGTCAGGAAGTCAGAAATGCTGAAATATGGTAAGCATGAACCTAGGCAGATCACATGGCAGCTGCTCGGCCGTTATTTTAACAGAGTCACTGTGTGTATGTGTCATTTTTCGCAAAATTTAATTTGAATCCTTAAGAGCGGAGACATCTCTGCGTTAGCGTGTGGCTGTCACGTCAAACTGGGACCCTCTAAATGAGCTTCTGGGTGGTAGTGGATGAGTGACACGAGGGAGATGGCCCTGTCTCGTCCCCCACGCAGGTTACATCGAAGAGGCCTGCATCATCCCCTGCCCCTCCGACTGCAAGCTCAGCGAGTGGTCCAACTGGTCCCGCTGCAGCAAGTCCTGTGGGAGCGGCGTGAAGGTTCGCTCCAAGTGGCTGCGCGAAAAACCCTATAATGGAGGAAGGCCTTGCCCCAAACTGGACCATGTCAACCAGGTATTTTCTACCATTGGGAAAAAATAAGTTTTGGGATTTAGATTGACAATGATCTATTTTTCCCCAAATGGACAAAAGTAATTAATAGCCCCTGAATTAGAAATCTGACCCATTTTATTTTTAGACTAGCCTGGTTCAATGCATGTATATTATTAAAATCCCAAATCAGATATATCATTTCTGTATTCTCAAGAGATTTAGTACCCTGCATATATATGCCTATGAATATAATTCAATGGAAATTAAATGAAAGCTACCTTTGAAATAATGTCAAGGTATTTAACCTGTCATAAAATTATATCTAACTTGTGTGTTAAGAGCCAGACTGTCTCATTCTTAGAGTTCCCCTAGATTCTCAGAAAAGACATCTCAATTACCAGCTACTTAAATTAAAATCAATGAAAGTATAGAGGTGCGAGTCTAACATTAGGAAATAGATGATGTGTATTCATTTAAATTTGGTTTATATAAAACATGTTTAAAAACTTGAAGACGGCCTTGAAGTCACTGAAAGTATGTTATCTATCAGTGTACTCATTGGCCTTTAATCTTATTTTGATCTTTATTTGATTTCAGATACACTTTATTAGTTGTTATTAATCGTTGTTACCTGTGTTCTATTGGAAATATGAAGTAAAAGGCTAATACAGGGGATCGTGGCTAATTTATATGTAATATAAGATGCATCAGACAATTATCATGTTGGGCCTACATGTGAGTTGACAGTGAATTTCACATAGTCTGTGTAGATATTAAGATGTGCATTTAAATCTAACTCACAATCAAATGAACCAAGTCATATATATGAACTAACCTCAAATGTGCAGATACATGCAGACTGCCGAATTTCAATCTCCAAACATACTGCTTACCAGCACACACGCTTCCCTTCCTAAATTAACCTAAATTTGTTCATAACAATGAAAATACACTATAGAGAAAATAAAATAAAAAACTTTTGAATAAAGGTATTAAGATGAAGAAAGTGTAGAATTAAATTCTGCAGAAAGGACTCCGAAAGAATCTCGATTTTTCCCCACGTAGCTGAATTTGCCCTTAAATCCACCTGACAGTGAGTAATAAGCTACACTGCTGCCATCTATTGGTGATTGAGTTTCCCTGTTCTAGGGAATGTTTCCAGAGAAGGAAATTTAGTTCCATGACCCTAATGAAACAGATTGACTCAAATATAATGTTTGTAACACAAAACAATATTCTCTGTACATTTTGAAATCTCAAATTTGTAATAGGAAATTTAAATTTTTAATAAACTTTAATCCATGGTTCCAATAAAGGTAAATGTTCTTTAACGGTGAATTTGCAAAGGCTCAAGACCTCATGCCAAGTGGTCTTTGCTATGAAAAGTCTCCCCCCTGAGCCGTTTCTCTGTCACTCTCCAACTCTGATATAACCTAATGCGACGTTTGATAATGGCATCTGGGCTACTTGTTACCAGCTTACCGGTGGTCTATTGAGACATTAATGATGGAAAAATCAAAGCTAAAATCAGAAATAAGCCACTCTCAAATATGTGACTTTGAGCATAAATGTTCTACATTTAAAGAAGAAACTTTTAAGGATTTATATATCAGTAAAATATTAGAAGAGTAAAAAATATGCAAAGGTTTGTGGGAATGTTGAAAACTGTAAGTCACATAGACTTTTTACAGTGATACATTCCTCAATATAATTGGTGGTACTTTGACTTGAAAATTGTGCTGAGGTTCTGTTTTCCAACTGGAAAAGCAAATCCTCACTTCTAAAGAAATATAGGTGGGTGGATGAAGGTGGGTAGATGTATCTGTCAGTCGGTCTATGGATAGGTAGATAATCCATTTACCGTTGGACCCACAAGACATTTGCAGTTATATATCAGTGCCCCAAGGTAAGCATTTTAAGGTCTATTCCTGTGTCTAAGATGTCTTCATCCTGACCACCTAAGACTTTCCCTGACTCTGCTATTTGCAGTAGTTATTTGTGTATCTTAATCTTAAACAATGAGTTGGTTTTTCTCTCCCAGGACCTACAAAAAGTGTTCTAATTATTTATTAAAAAGAAAAAATAGGCTTTTCTATAGGAATAATAATATTTGAAAGTTGAAATGTGAGTTTTTCTCATTAAATATACTGACATTTTACTTGTCTCTGCTTGTCTCCCTGTCTTGATTCCTGTTGAATGTAACCGCTCCAGGCACAGGTAAGAACTCTTAAACCTCATAGTTCATAATAGGCTGCTGCTTGTTTACTGTTTTACTCCTGATTTCAGAGAATATATTTTTTCCTACGATCGTCTTTTATCTTTTACAGGGAGGAAATACCATATTTTCCATAAAATGTGTGTTCTGCAGTTGTTTCCTTTTTATTTCGTGAATGCTACCTTGTTTTTTCTCATTTTATAATCAGGGCCTGAGGTGTGGGGGTGGGAAACAAGCTTTACTTCACCAGCCTTGAAAAGGCAATGACACCTCCTGTTACTGATCTCATGCTTCTCAGAGGGAGAGTAAAGATGCAGGTGGGATAGCAGGAGGATGCTCTGCACTGGTTTGTGTTCACTCCAGTGTAGGAGATTAAAATGCGAGCCATCAAAGGATTAGGAACAATGACATTTCCCCTTCAGTTTGTCCCTTCCCCACAAGTTGTAAAGTAATGTTTTAAGCATTAGAAATTAGTCATATTTTAATACAGCACCCAATGGGAATGTGATCACTTGTGAAAAGTATAAATTCTTACTCCCACAGTGCATATTTTTTATTATTATTTGGAATAAGTTTACTTTGTCGCTTTACTTGGGTGTTTAGCCCACCAAAATTTACACAAAAGAATAGCTCCAAATGGCTATTTAAATCTATATTCTCTATAATTTGTTACATAATCATTCATATGCTAGTGTGTGTGTGTGTGTGTGTGTGTGTGTGTGTGTGTGTGTGTGTGTGTAAAATAAGAAATGGAGGGGATTATTATAGATTTTAAATGATTTTTAAAAACACTTTTCTATAATGGTTGAGTCAGCCTGGCTGTGGTGGATTGTGATCTATTTATTTCCTTTGTTCAGTCATTCTTCTTATTGAAAGAAGAGCGTAATTAGTCATTGTTCTAAAATTCCTGAAACCAAACAAACCACCTCAAACTTGGGGCTGAAAGCTTTTATGGGTACCAGTGTACAAACAATTTGCTTTGTTTCAAGTGACCCTCACTGTTTTAGGCTGTAGGTGTGTCATGTGAGACCAATTTCAGGCCTTGCTTCCAAGCTCTCACTGAGGTTTCGAGATAGCTTTATTTCATGTTATTTATCTTTTAATTTTGTTTCATAAATGGAGCCCATAAAAATACAAGTTTTCATTGTTGTACATATTTGAAAAACAAGCTAAATTATATTTATTTGAAAATAGCTACTTTTATACACTTATTTAATTCAGTCATTCATTTATTCACTCATTCATTTATTCAACAAATCTCTATTGATTGCCTAACATATGAGTACCCTGGGGTAAGTATTGAAGACACACAAAACTATAAACAAGACCAATGGCATGGGAAATTATAATACTGTGTGGTGATGTTACTGGTGTTTGGGGTGCTTGGGTACCCCAAGATAGAAATCAAAAGGAACCACCAGAGAAATTTCCAGGTACATTTTACTAAGCTAATGCTCAAGGACAAGGGAGGCAGCACAGAGGACAGGAAGGTCCTCCGAACATCTGGGGGCGGGGGGTGCTGGCTCTGCTTGGCTGCTTTTATAAGGTGGGGACCAAGCAGGCTTGCGCACAGAGGCAGGCTTTTGAAAAAGAGGACTTGGGAAATTTCCTGTGTCAGGGCCAAGCTCCTTCCTCCTTCAGCCCGGTTGCTTAACACCTGTCTTGGCACCTGCACTGGGAGAACCCTGACCGCTGTGGACCGCTCACTGCTGCCACCCCAGGAAAGTCCTATAGCAGTTAAACCTTGATCAACTGCATGTGCACAAGAGTGGTTTCCACTTCTGCAAGGAAGTAAGCTGTTAGAAGGGACATAAGAAAGCCTACTTCGTCATTCTTGGGCAAGGAGGAGCCGGGGTGGGGACATTTTTGCAGTCAGCTTACCCGGTGTTCCTTCTGGCCCCCTGCTGTTACTTCCTCCCAGGCCCAAGGCCCTGCGCCGTCTCAGTCAGGCCCATACAGGGAAGCAGTAATGTACCGAATGTGGCCCAGCAGTCAGATCTACAGCTGCAATGTAATAATGGAGCAACAGGAGACCACACAGCTAGTTCTGCCCTTTTAGCACTAGAACTCTCAAGAAATTTCAAATAACAATGGAGAAAAATAAAATTAGCTAAAGTAAGAATATGATGATGATTATGATGCAAAGTCTTCCCTTTCACTCTGATTAGGTACCTGAGATCAGATGCTGAAAACTCTGTGTGTTTCAGGTGTATGAGGTTGTCCCATGCCAGAGTGACTGCAACCAGTACCTGTGGGTCACAGAGCCCTGGAGCGTCTGCAAGGTGACCTTTGTGAACATGCCAGATAACTGCGGAGAGGGCGTGCAAACCCGAAAAGTGAGGTGAGGCCAAATCAGTTTTCATAGGGAAGCAAAATACACACCACCTCCCAGTTTCATATGTGCCAACGTGAGCATTCACTCCTTCCCAATCTCCTAATAAACAGCCTTTAGTTTTGTTTTTAGAGAATCTGGGTTCATGGAAAACTCCAAACGACCTGCTTCGAGCAGCAGTTTCTTGTATTCGGCCTTCTGATTTAGGAAGGCCAAGAAACACTGCTGGTTTTCAAACCCCAATAACGTTTTCCTTAAAGGCCAAAGATATTTCTAACTGCATTTTAATGGTAATCTGTGGTAAACTTTTGCTCCTTTATATCTAACTGGCCAATTGTTTTAATACTTTTATCTGTTCCAGGACACCTTCCCTAAAACCCCATTGACCAAGGCTTCTGAATAATTCTGTGGCCACACTGTCTGGTAGGGTAGCCACTAGCCTCATTTGGCAATTTTCACTTTAAATTTAAACTAATTAAAATTAAAAATGTGTTTCCTCGGTCACACTAGACTCTAGTGTGTCTAGACACTAGACATTTCAAGTGCTCAGTAGCCATAGATGGCTAGAGGCTGTTCCATCAGACAGCACAGCATTTCTATCACCACAGAGTTCTAGCCAGCAGCAGTGTTCTGTGGTACCCATATCCCCCGCATTGTTATGAAAAGATCTTTTTACATGTCTGTCACTGTGATTCATCCCCATAAGTTTCTCCACACTGAGATCCTGTCATATTAATAGAAATTCCCTAACACCTAATACAAGTTTGACATTCTTAAGTTTTCTCTACAGTCTTTGCACATGATCCTTAAAGGTTCTAGAACCAGGGAAACAAATGTATGAGGTTCTGTTATTTCCACTTCACAGAGTAGATTCACAAATTCTAATTCACCAAGAACACATATCTAGTAAAGTGACACAGTTGGCATTCAAACCCAAGTCTCTTGTCAACTTTAACTATATCAGTTTCTTCTAACCCAGCTGAGTGGCACACAGTAAAGACAAATATAAAAACATCCAGAACTTGACAACTCATGTTGTGAAGTTCATTCTCACTTAAGACCTAACTTCTCATGAATTTAATACTCATATTTTTTCATCTATTTCAATAGGAAAATAGAACAAATTAACGTTTATCTTAAAATCTTGCACACTATGTATAACTTTGCTTCCAGTAAAAATAATTTATGGTTTCTTTTTGAAGAGCCCATCTGAACTCTCAGTTATTTTTCTGAGGAACTTTTTGAAGGTGGATGGGGAGGGGAATGTAATGCGTTGATGGGGAAACAGGGAAGAAAACAAAAGAAATTCTTTTTTGCCCTTCTCCAGAATTTAAATTTTCACTTTGAATTTTAAAGTATTTTTCTTGTATTAAGAATTTGATCAGGTGTTTTTTCTGGTTAGTAAAAACTATATATAATAAGGAACTACTGTTTTTTAAGCTTTCCTTTTAACTCTGTGTACATGTTGCTTCTTTTTGCTCTGTGAATAGATATTCTTAACATTTCCAGGCACATCCCTAAACTAAGTAGCTTTTCAGAGCAACTTATTTCTTCAGGAAACATCTTTAATGCAAATAGAGAAAAGAGAAGGTCAGCGTAGGTCGTGATCTTTGGTCATGTAATAATGTTTCTGCAGTGATTGAGTAATAGACCTCCCTAACCTTATCCGCAGCTAATTAAGGTCAAGGCGCCTGCTTAGAGGCAAGGAGTGGGTGACATTTGAGAATACACGAGTCTGTGCGAAAGCAGGATTCAATAAATCCCATCTTGTCCCTTCTCTTAGGATGGTGTGACATTTCAAAGACTGGGTGGTAAAACTGATTTGCTCTGATGGGAAGAGAGATTTTTTTCACTGGCATTTTTTAAAGTGCCAGCACATTGTGATAATAAAAAAAACACAGAGTGATATGGTTATTTTTATTGTTGCTTTAGAATTCTCTGCTGACAACGCACCTCCTACTCCTACCCCTGTGGTGGGCCTCTGGCCCCGCCTTTGGCCTCCAACTGGATTCTACACTGTTTTCTACTACAGTTCAATTTTTTCACAGTCTAACTCCTTTTCATATGGAAAGGGAAAAGGCCAAGCATTAGAAAACAGCAAATGAACTTATAGTGCCTTCCTTTTGGGTCAAAACTTGATCCAAATATTTATTCTCCGTTCTAGAGTAATAAAAAAAAAATCATTAATACCAAATAAATATAACTTATAAATAATTTGAATGTCAACAATAAGGATTTTTAGCAATTGTGGCACATTCCAATGAAGGAATTTAAATGTAGTCATTAAAAATTATAACTTAGAAAAATGGCTAGCAACACAAGAACATGTCTATAATATATCTTTGGGGCTCTTTTTCTTAAATGGTACAAATAGCAGGTAAAGTTTTGTCACATTTAATGAAATAAAATACATGTTTAAATATAATAGTCTTTTTAAAGTGGTTATCTCTGATGCAATACTGCGAATTTATATTATTTATCCTGATTTTCCTAAAATGAATATGTCACTTGTGTGATAAAAATTAAAGGAACAGAAAAGCCTTAGAAAATGAAGTTTTATCTACATAGCTGCATAATAGAATATTGAACATCTGTCCTTAACTCTGAATCAATAGGTAACTTTTCAAGTTAATCCTTGTACCTTGTGTCAGTACCTACCATGAATGCAATCTTTTCTTAGCAGCAAATCCCACTTTGAGCACTAACTGTCCCATTTGTTTCCATGGCCTCTCAAAGCTGCTATCGGCAGAACATTTTTTTTAAATGCCATTGAAAGTAGAACTTTTTTCCTGATAAACTAAAATTCTCCCAAAGACGTTTATAATTTAATTTTTTCTTTCAACAAGGAAATAAAATCTCTACCTTTGTGTGGTTGTGTGATTGCTCTTTTTCATGTATTTATGCAATTTATAAAAAATGCAGAGGAAGATATTTATAAAGATCATTTTTCAGGCTACAAACCTAATTAAGACATGAGCAACAACAGCACCGATTTCTAGTCTGAATGTATCTCACAGGAAGACAATATTTTTTTTAATTAGGCAGCACTTCATAGAGAGGTTATCCTGCAAGGTAAATATGAGAAGACACAATGACCCCAATGATTGTAAATTCCTGAAAAGGGCTGAGATTTCAGGTATAATTGGTCATGTAATTCAACTAACAGTTTGAAGCATTGCAATGGGTTTGAGAGCTAAAGAGCTCAAGCCTTCCTTTTGGTCTCCTACAATGCAGTTCTGTTCCAATGCCCATTAATTTGGTTGACCTTCCCAAGTTCTAGGTGAGGGATAAAGTTTTTCTCTTCTACTAGAAAAGTGCCCAGAGAGATTAACTGTGATACAAGTGAAGTCTGTACTAGTCACATTAATTAGATTTCCAAAGAAATTGGGAAATGAGTGAAGAGTTCTTCATGACTGCTTACAATAGAATGAAATATAATAAAATGTTTGAATTTGTTCTGTTAAAAAGAAAACTAACCATTAAAAAGGGTCAAGATATAGAATGATCCACACAAGCACATTTAGAGAATTTGTGCTATTACTATTATAATTGTATTTTCACTTTTGGCTTAAAGTTATCAGCAGGTGGGAGGGTAAATACCTTTTTATTTGACAAAAACAATTACTTTCACAAACACTTTATGAAACCTCTCACTAGGAGATTTCAGTGTGCCTGGTCTTCCATCATATGTGAATCTACCTTCACTACACAATCCACCATTTTCTTCAGAAGAAAAAAATATTATATTCCAAAATTACAACCCCTCCGTGAATCTCTTTGGACCACTCCTCATTAGTCCTGCATCATATAGAGTGTAAATGATCCTTAAATTTCAGAGGCAGACATTTAGAGTTTACTTATACACTGCTGTAATTTTTTAAAGTTGTGATGAAAACTACATGGATAATTTTTAAAATCATACCAAAGCTCTACAACTATTTATGGGAGGCAGAGATCCTTTTATGTCTTCATGTTTATTCATTAATTGCAAAGCTTCCCACCCCCGCACCTCCAACCTCATGATGCTGTCTTAGGATGACCATCTAGCCTATGGGTTGGCCATTGTTATAACTGTCCTGGTTCCTTCACTGATACGTATGTTTTCTTCTAGATGCATGCAGAACACGGCAGACGGCCCTTCTGACCATGTAGAGGATTACCTCTGCGACCCAGAAGAGATGCCCCTGGGTTCTAGAGTGTGCAAATTACCGTGTCCTGAGGATTGTGTGATATCCGAATGGGGTCCGTGGACTCGATGCACTTTGGTGAGATGATTAGCCATTTATTAACATAGAGCTTGCTCAGTTCCTTACCACGAAAGCTTGAAAGATATTATTTTAAAAATCACAGTTACTAAATTACTTACCAAAGCAAGATATATTTTCTTAGCAACTTCATTCTCTGACTGTGCCATTTAAAGTCAGCAGTGTTTCCACTCGCACTAGAACAGCTTGACCTCTTGCAAGCGTTATCCACCACCGTCCCCCAAACCCAGTACAAACCCCTTCAGATGGGCTTATACATACCCAGCGGGTTAAGAACTGCAGCAGCGATAATGACTCCTTCCAGGTAGAGGGACAAAGAATAAATCTCTAGTAAAGGCACTGTAATGGTGTCAGGTGATTGTCATCCCTTGCTTTTGCCCAATCCATTTTATTTAAATTGTAGGAATAATCTTTCACCCAGTGGGGGTTCTGCCACAGGAGTATCCACACTAAAAGGCAAGAGATCCTGGAATGAGAGGGAGTAGGAAGAAGAAAGCTGTGCGTCAAAGAATCTTTCCACACGCTGACTCTGTGTGTCTTTGGGCCTGGAAAGCCAGCTGAGAGTTTCAAATCACACAAAGCTTCTAGATTTCAACAGCCCGAAGGGGCTCTTCCATGGGGCCCTGGGAAGAGAGTCATTTGAAACAGAACTGGCTGCTGATGTAGAAAATTGGGTCTACCCCTGGGCACCTTTGCAAAGCTGCACATTTCGAAATGGCATCAAAAGCACAGGGGAAAATGCATGCAATGTGGAATTAATTTGCTGAAATACAATATAGGACAGTTTCAAAAAATTTATAATGCATGTTTTCAAGGAAAAATTAAATTTCTATTTCAGTGTTAATATTACTAAGGTGCTGATTAGCAGCCAACTGAGAGAGCAGGAGCAAAAGAGGGCTGGCAGTTGACTTGGATACAGTTAAATTGTAATAATCAACTGTCTCACAAGGGTATGTGAATGATTTTCTAATTCCATTAACATCAGGTTTGAAGTTACTGCTCCTGTTCTTAGAAGCCAAATGCTTTCAGAACAGGACTGTACCAGTAGGAGAATGCCAGCCAGTCTTTTAAGTGCTTCTGTGTTTGTGTGTATGTGTGCCTTAGGACAATAAAAATTGCTAACAGTTAGTTATTTAAAGTCACCTTAAAATGTTTTTGGGGGGAGCAAAAGACCATATTAGATAGGTAGGTAGGTAGGTAGGTAGGTAGGTAGGTAGGTAGATAGATAGATAGATAGATAGATAGATAGATAGATAGATAGATAGATGATAATTTCTGTATTAGTGATCTACAATAATTCATATGACCATATGTACGTGTTTCTGTACCTGTGATGTGATGTATCTATTAATATTTGACACATAGACCCTTAAGTATCTTATAGCTAGATGGGACATCAGAAGCTCACCCAACACTTTGATCTTAGAGAAGAAATGGAAGTGTAATGAGATTGTTCAAGTTAGCCAGTGGCCCCAGCATGCTGACTCCTGCTCCAGCGCTCCCCCCAACGCGTGAGCCCTCGCATGGCTGAGCATGCACCTTTCTGAGGAGCTGTGTTATTCCCTGTCAGCCCTGCAATCAGAGCAATTTCCGGCAAAGGTCGGCTGATCCCATCAGACAACCTGCTGATGAAGGAAGAGTCTGCCCCGATGCCGTGGAGAAGGAACCCTGCAACCTGAACAAAAACTGCTTCCACTATGATTATAACGTAACAGGTACGTGGGTCGTCATCTCACCACGGAGCGAAAGGCCAGAGCCCGTGTGTGTCAGCTCAGCAGCGCCCCGTGAGTATAGTTCACCTCCGTCGGTGTCCCCTTTGGTCATGCTGCTTGCTCTGCCAGAAATACTTTATTAACTAACATAGATATGTATCTATTCTATTTTGTAATAAACATCAAGCTATGGATAATGAAAATATCACACAAACACTAGCCCTGCAGAAGATTGTGAATATCTAATTGATCCTATTTAAGACATCCTCCCACTCTGGGAAGGTGTAAAGGAGATACCATTCCCATGGGTATCCGGGTTATTGAAAGAGGCCCTTCTTCTTCAGCAGCTGTTTAATTGCTGTAACATCCCAGGACCACAACTCTTTGTGTGGGGCAGTTCATAAGCATGATCGGTCCAATGTAAAAACAGCAGCATGCTTACCCTTGCCAAAAAGTATGTAAATATAACTATTTCAGTATTATCAAAGGTACGGATAAAAAATGGATAGATGAGTATTTTTTCAGGAAAAAAAGGCTTATTATAAATTCCATTTTTTTCCCTAACCCTCACCTCCTACCATCAAGGCCCATACTCTAGGAAAGAAGAGAGTTTGTTGGTTTGCATGATTTGGGGAGACACTGAAGCTTATTTTGGAATTCTTTCAAGTAATTTTCACAGTGAGATAAACTACAGAAGTTGGACAATGATACGCAGCAGTTAGGCTGGCTTTTGTTCCTTCTGATTTTTCTCTTTCATTTTCTTTGCTGACACAAGGAAATCACTGTTCTTTGGGATATGCTATGTTACTCTAAAAAGAAAGATGAAAGGATTATTTTGAAAAAGATATGAAATAAGAGAATTAAATAAATATGACCCAAAGTGATTTTGAAATAAATCAGTGCACATTTCAAAACATTCTAAGTATCCAAGTAAGTGAAATACAGCGTTTTATTTGAACATAACACAAAGTACTATCCATTGAAATTATGGTCTTGCTAAAACAAAAATAATGTTAAAATTGAAATTTCTGCTTTTATTAGGAAAAAAGTTTTTAAGTGACATTTGTTCTGCAGGCCAAAGCCACTTTTACAATATTGCCAAGTAGCTATCAAGATTGTCAAGTAGACATCTGCCTTCTAGAAGAACCCCTCTAGCTATGTGCAACCCCAGGAATTCCATTTGACTCCTGATATGTTCAAAGCCAGGACCCATATGCTTTGCATGTAGGATGATTGATTATGGGGCTTAGGAAGCAGTGGTGGATTAAATATGGGATTCGGGTCATCAGAGTTTCATTTGAAACCTGTTTCATGTATGGCCTTCTGTTCAGATGGGCTCCCTTCCTTTCAGATTGGAGTACTTGTCAGCTGAGTGAGAAGGCAGTTTGTGGAAATGGCATTAAAACAAGGATGTTGGACTGTGTTCGAAGTGATGGCAAGTCGGTTGACCCGAAACATTGTGAAGAGGTGAGGGGATGCTGTGTTATATCCTTGTGAGTAAATTCTTTCCCAGTAATTTCAATTCATGCTGAGCCAAGTGACCTGTGCTCCGTGCAGCTCGTTGCCAGCAGATGTTTTTCTGCACTATTCAGAGGCTGTTAAGCACCCTCTTGAAAAAAGACACTGTCCGACACTACTGATTTCTACACATAATTTCCTGTATTTTGTTCTGCTTGGAGCCCAAAGGTATGCTAATTATCCTTTTCCGAAAGAAATGCTTGGGGAACAATCAGTAATCAAGGTGAATATAGGCAATAAATCTTAATCAGACTGCTCATCATTTTTGTAATTTCATTTGAATTTTGTGTTGCCTGGGACACCTGCCAAGATCCATCATTCACTCTCTCTGTTGCTAAACATTGATCACATGTGGTTTTGTAGCAGATTTTGATATTAGGATCTAATACCCAGCTGTGAGAGTCAGGTGTGGATGAGAGAGAGCTTGAAATTCAAACAAAGGAATGGAGTCTGCCATTAGTATCTTTCAGGTACAAAAACTTGTTAATTCTTCAATTTACAAAAGTAACGTCATTGTTTCTAGATATGGCCTTATAAAATAAAAGAACACAGTTGCTGGCCTTTCTTATTTTTCATGAAGCTATGCTTCATGTTTTAATTGTCTGATTTCCAACAAAAGGGTACTCACATTCCTGAGAGGTTTTGGCTCCTCCTGTGTCTGAGCCCCACTGGGTTAAATATGAACCGAAATAAACAGAATCCTCTGAGGGTCTAGAACACTCAGGAAGAGCTTATAACCTCATTAGGGTTCAGTAGACGTGATGACCGAGCCCGTGTCTGCACACCTGGGGTTGTTACAAGCCCATGGTAAATTGTTCCAACTCCTAATGGAAAACTCGAGGTGAAAATAGGTTAATCCATTTGATATCTTTATTATGTAGACCTAACTTAATTTCCTTATATCTCTGTCCATGTGAACATGTGACCAGAGCTCCCAAATGTGCTGAAAACAAGTTAATAAATTTCCTTTGCTATCATCTCATAACAGAACTTAGTCTATTCATACTTTCAATTTAATTAGGAATTTTACACCTGAATCAATTTTGAAACTAATAACATCGAAGTAATGGAACCATTATAAAAAATAACATTATTATTAATGGATATTATTATAGTCATACACTGGCTGGAGAGTTTTCTGTGATCTACTTCTGGTTGATTAATGTGCCTCTTTTCTTGCAAATTCCCATATAAATGCCCTCCCAAGTCGGAATGAAATATACAGTGAATAAAGTCTAAGAGCGTTTTGAAAGCTAAACCCAAATCATACAAGACCAATTTTAAAATAGCTCATATGACTACATGACAAAGGTATAAACAGGGTCCTAGTTTCTTAAATAAACTTTAAATAAAAACCTGACAAATAACTAATTTTAAGTATCCAGGAGATAAGGTAAATTTACTCTGTATACAAATATCATTATGTTTGACTACTGCGATGACAATTAGGGATTTAAATTATAACAGTCTAGCAAGTGCTGTCTTTGGGGAGAACTGTACTGCTCGCTGCAGGAATTGAATTAAACAACTCATATCCCATTTAGCCATCCCTATGGATGCGGTAGGATTAAATAATGGCCCTGAGAAAAGCTGGCTATCTTTTTAACTATGGATTGATTGCCTGCCTGCTAAGACATGTGTAAACCCTGCATTCAGTGCAACAGCAGTAGCCAACTCTCGCTGTTCCTCTAACAGCCAAAAAGAAAAATGGCATTACCACCCAACAAAGAGGAAAATTGGGGTTAAACCCATGTGGTATTTATATAGTATTTTTGTCTTTTGTGTTTTTCAGACATTTACCTCATACCTAGTAATTGATTTCTTCTTTCCTATTCTTTGATCCCTGAGAAGATTTTTTTATTACACAAATGCTTAGATAGATGGTGATGATGGAAGAGAGAGAGAGAGAGAGAGAGAGAGGGAGGGAAGGAAGGAAGGAAGGAAGGAAGGAAGGAAGGAAGGAGAGAAAGAGAAATAGATGACAGGTGGAAAAAATACAATAAACATAAGAGAAAAAGTAGTACAGGGTTAAAATGTCTCAGTATTGGATGCCTAAAATATCTATAAATAGACATCCTTTTTCATTTTCTAGTGAAATAAATAAGTTAGTAGTAATCCAATTCTGTGATTCAAACCCTTTCTCTATGCAACTATTATCTACCTTAATATGACACATTATTTTTATCATGTCACCTTAAGACTCTAATCTCCAACGTCTCATGACTTAACTATGAGACTTTATATAAGTGATACAGTAAAATTTTTCATACCAAATCCTGTACTCATCTTTGTCAAGTATTAGTGGTGGAGAATATACGGCAGGACCTGCAAAGGGAAGCAGTCCACAAATCACTGACCTGATCTGTCTGTGGATAACTTAGAGCCAAGAGCTATACTTGAACCACAGCATAACATTTCAGAAAGTTTTTCTTTTGCCATCTTATAATATTAGATACCGTAAACTTGTCTTTCATGCAAAACTAAAAAAGATCTTGAAAATCCCACGGATTACCAATTTAAGAAATTATATTATCCTAATGTGCTCTTAAATTTTTCTATTTCATTGCTACTTTGGACTTAGGACTTCTTAAATGTTTGTATATACAGTAGATGAGTTTGAAATCTCATCTCATATTTTAAAAGTAAAATATGTAAATAACTATTGGAATTCACTGTCAATACAATGGTACAATGTTATCTGATGAGAGACTAACACTAAACTGAATTATACCACAGTTAGCTTCAAAAATCTCTAAAATAGTTTTAGAAGAAAAATCTTTGTAATTAAAAAGTATATATAAAATATTAATAAAAAATTCTAGTGATCCAAATTTTCTTTTAGAGAGCTAAGGTACTCAAAAATTGATATTTTTATATTATTTCAATACATTAGTCATTAGTTTTGAGTGGCAATTTGTCTTGAAAACCTTTCCCTTTTGCTTTTCAGTTTAACAAGCATGTATAAAAATAAGTAATGCCCCAAAGATACACTTATGGATCTGTATATTGATGACATTCTTGGTTTTTAACGAATAAAAAATAATCATGCTTACACTTATTAGTTCCTCACTTAGAGAAACTCAACCTATTTGGAGGTTAAATCTACTTTTACTTATTGCATATTTTAAAAGTTCAACTCTATATAAGTATATTGAGTAAATGGGCTCCTCCATTTAACGTGTGCCCTTTGCTCCCACTCTCCTGGGTTGGTCCACTTTATATTTTTAACAGTTTGGGTGTTTGCCCAGCAGATAGGTTTTTATTCTGTTAGGCATCTTACTTACCCTTCCTCTCTTCCCCTCTCCTTTCCTCCCACTCCTGTCTTTTCTTTTCTCGCTCCCTCCTTCTTCCATCCACCATACACTGTGGGCATGCCTTCATGTCAGTGCAAACAGATCTCCTCTGTCCTTTCAGCTGGGCCTGGAAAAGAACTGGCAGATGAACGCGTCCTGCGTGGTTGAGTGCCCTGTCAACTGTCAGCTTTCTGAGTGGTCTCCGTGGTCAGAATGTTCTCAAACGTGTGGCCTCACAGGTTAGTTTGTACCTTAATTAGCCTTCAGCTGATGGTCAAAGAATCCAAAATAAAATGCCCCTCTTGCTTTCAGTGCTATCAAATAATCTTCAGTAAGGCTGAATCAGGGTGTCTTTCTTTCCAAAATACAGGAGACATACTTGTTCCTCTAATCTCCTCAGGAGAATTGTGTGTGATAGCTTCTCCCAATAAGATATCTGCTTGCACAACAGTAGCATATCACTAAAGCTGCATCCCTTTGTATCTCTTAAAGGAAAAATGATCCGAAGACGGACAGTTACCCAGCCCTTTCAAGGTGACGGAAGACCATGCCCAGCCCTGATGGAACAGTACAAGCCTTGCCCAGTAAAGCCTTGTTATCGGTGGCAATATGGCCAGTGGTCTCCGTGCCAAGTGCAGGTAACAGATCTCAAGAAGTCATGCGGAAATGTGGTTCTTTATGTGCAGAGACGTGGTTTCAGAATCATTTTTCAGAGTTTACACATGTCATGTTTTCTCTTAAAGATTTTAGGTGCCTAGCTATTTCATAACTAGTTTAATTAGTTTTGATAACAGGCACTCCCTGTCCTGTATTTTTTAAATCATTTGGAGACTGATACATTTTAATGAAAATTTATTTGCCTGCCTTTGGCTAGAAAACAAATACACTATTCACTGTGTGCTCCTATAGGACTTCTTCCCTGGGGTCCAAGGGCTTCCTTCACTGCTCATAAATCAAAATCAATGGTGCAGAGATGACTGTAAGTGATGAGCTCTCTAATGAATTATTTTTCTTCTCCTAATTAGTTATTTCTTTCTTCATCCCAGGATGCCCAGTGTGGAGAAGGTACCAGAACAAGAAACATTTCTTGTGTAGTAAGTGATGGGTCAGCTGATGATTTCAGCAAAGCAGTGGATGAAGAATTCTGTGCTGATGTTGAACCCATTATAGACGGTAATAAGAAAATGGTCTTAGAGGAAACCTGCACCCAGCCTTGCCCAGGTAACAGCAACAAAACATAATTTATAGTTTGATCATTTCTTACCAGGACTGGGGCCAAGAAGAGGTTGCATATATAGCCTAAGTTAAGGGATGTCTGCAGTCCTCTCATTCAATAATATCTGTGCCAACAGACAGACACTGTAGTATGAATGAAGGGGGGCACTGTCGCCTTACTCCTCGGTGGGGGTGAAGGCAGGTCTCCCATGTGGCTGCTGTTCACACACACTCCTCTAGAGTTTTAACATCTGCAGGGGATGGCAGTTAAGGCCTTAGCCTCATGTTTGACAGGGAAAGTGTGAAAGCAAAGTTGACCAAATAAGGATAGAACATACATCTATTTAGGATGTCTAGAAGAAAAGAATAGAAAATAAGAAAGAGACAGCATTAAACACATAATAGCTAAAGAAAAATGTTGGTCCTTATAATGAAAGCTTACTCTGGGTCTTAAACAGAATCAACAATAAATTCATACCTAGATACACTGTAGTTAAAACAGAGAACGTAGAAAAATAGAGAATTATTAAAGCATGCAGAAAGAAAAGAAAGTAACAGATTACCTGCTTTTGGAAGACAAAATTAGAATTATAGCAGAATTCGTCTCAGTTACAGTGAAAGCCAAAAGACATTGGAATATACAGTCATGAGTCACTTAACAATGGGGATATGTTCCGAGAAATGCATCATTAGGAGATTTTTTTCATTGTATAAACATCATAGAGTCACTTACACAAACCTACATGGTATATAGCCCACTACACACCTAGGCTGTTTGGTATAGCCTATTGCTTCTAGGCTACAAACCTGTGCAGCATGTTGTTGGAGGAAATTGTAACAGTAGTATTTCTTTATCTACACATCAAAAGATACAGTAAAAGTACTGTATAAAAGATTTAAAATGGTACACCTATATACTGCACTTACCTTGAATGTTGGTTGCAGGACTGGAAGCTACCCTGGGTGAGTCAGTGAGTGAGTGTAAAGGTCTAGGACATTACTGTACACTACTGTACACTTTATAAACACTGTCCCACCAGCCCTTCCCCTGCTTCCTTCAGACAGGGTCAGATATAGATTATCAAAGCTTTCAATGCTGCTCCATGAACAGGGATATGGGCTGGACTGATTGAAAATATCAAGGAGAAACTGGCTAGGCAAGGCACAGATCACCATAATAGTGACTGTCAAGAGGCAGTGAAAGGTGTCCTGAGGATCAGTAGCAATAAGAAATCAAGATGAATAATGGAACATCGGGTTTGTCGTGCAGTGTGGTTTTGGTTATTGCATATTGGAGCAGTGGTTGGATTAAGGAACTTTGTGGTATTCATTTAAAAAAAAAAAGGTGCTTAACATGGAGAAGGTGTAGAACTGAGGACTCAATATTTTGACTTTGAAAATTTGTTCTTGGTTGCACTGACCATATCTAGCACAAAAGGCTCTCTCTCACATTGAATTGATGGAAGAAGGAAAACTTGTCTAAGCTTTACATTACTACAACCTGAAAATGTTTTCAAAGTACAGGGACAGGCTGGCTCCACACTACCACAGAAAGCTTTTACTAAGCATCAATGGTCCTTAATACTTGTTTAAAGATATCTCCTGTGGCCCTGTGTCATTGTATATGATCCACAAGAATTTGCATCTGTGTACCCTGAAGACCATCAGGCTATATCTGGGAGGACTGCAGTGCTCTCTGAATATGTAGTGATGGGGGGACAGGCTCCTCTGTGCTGAAACAGGTCAGTGGCCGAGTAATTGAGATATAATCTCTGCACTCAAAATTGAGGCCCTGTAAGTGAGAGGGAATCTATTGAGAAGCCCCGCAGATATTGCTCCCATCAAAGAAAAATAAACTTCCTCCTGAACCATATACCCTTCTATTTCTTACAGGAAATTCAGCTCCATTAGAATCTTATGGGACCACTGTCGTATATGAGGTCCCTCGTTGACCAAACCATCGCTCTGCAGCTCATTACTGTATTTGAAATGTGATGGAAAATAATCATCAACCTAAAATTCTGTCCCCAACTAAATTATCATTCAAGAGTGGAAAAAAATAATATTACAGAAGAAAACATTGAAAGAAATCATTGTGATGCAATGTTGGACAGGAGGGCTGCATGCAGTACAATGTGGAAAGCAAATGTTGTCTATCCAATAGTAAAAAAACTAATTGGCAGACAGTGATAAGCTAGGAGGCTGTTCTTCTCTTATAAATTACAATCTATTCACTTCAGTTCCTCTGGCGATAGTTTCCTTCAGTGATGGGTTTTGAAAGCAAGCAGTATGTGAACTAATAAGCTTTAAAGAGTAAAATAGTGAAGTGGGAAATGCATTTCATACACTTAATTGTCATATCTTTGGCAGGCATAGTGTAGTTTATTACAGTGGTTTATGTAGTCAAAATATAAAAGTATGTTCATTACAAGGCAATACCTCCCTCTCGATTGCTGTTGTTAAATCTTTGAAGCCTGATGCGGATTATTTGGGGTGATTATGATAAAATTCACAGACTGCCATTAAACAATTTCTTGTTTTGTTACAAAACACACTATGTCAAGTGATATAAGCACAGAGATAAAGCCTACTTATAGAAAGATGTGTTTTATTTCCATGTAGTTTGCAATCATTGAGGCAAAGTTATATACCTTCATATTGACAGGAATTTTTCAATTTTAATAGTTTCTCCTCCATAATTAAAAATCGTGTTACTCAAAAGTAGCATTTCCTAGGGGATAGAAATATTTCTAAAATGTTATCACACTACTTAAAAATTCTTACTAGTTACTTTTTCCTTAACACTTTCAAAATTCACAAGAATTTTCTGCACTTCAGGATGACACTAGATAGAGTATTAATGACATACTATAATAAAAGTCTACAAAAATCACCCCACTTTACTATTGTATGTATGTACCTGTTAGTCAATAATTCATGTCTTCCCAGTATTTCTTAATCATGGCACAAGAAGTTTTTTCATTAATCAGGGATCCAGGCAACTTTGTGCTAATATTAGACAACTTCAGCATTATAAAAGGCTATATGAATTATTCATGTGATATGGCTGGAATAATTAAAGTGATAAGAACCCCTTGTGGATTTTTCTATCATAATTTACTGCATCCTCTGAACAATCTCACCAAGGAGTCAGTCCTGAAGAATGGATGTGTATATGGGGAAGATGTATTACATTACATCTTCCCTTTTCTCAAAATGGTTGAAGATGTTGATGATGAACACATGACACACTATGGCCCGGTAATTCCACTCCTAGGTATATACCCAATGGAAATGCATATATATAACTTCACCAAAAGATTTGTACTAAACTGTTCACAACAGCAGTATTCATAACAGGAAAAATGTACAGCTCCCCACATGCCCATCAATAGTGGAATGGATATCTCAATTGTAGTTAATTCATACAATGAGAGGAAAGTACAGCAATAACAATGAGAAAATTAGAACTACATATGTACATGATGGATCCCACAAACAAACATAAATGAGCCAAAGAAGCCAGACATAAAAAGTACATATGGTATGATTCCATATATAACATGAGGCGGTTTCTGAGATTCTGAGAATGTTCTGTTGCTTAATTTGGATGTTGATTACATGGGTATATAATCAGGTTGTGGAAACTCAGCTGTCTGTGCATTTATAATATGTGCATTATTGCATGCATATTATTCAATCAATAACTGACAAAAAGGGAAAGTGGGTTGAAGACATAGACCAAGGAAATAGCATGCATTATTGCCACTCCTGCAGCTGCTCATTTGGCCATCCCACCTGCACCCTCTGGGAAAAGCAAGGAATAAAGCATAAGTAGCAGCTTTCTCACACTTGGATTTCAAGCTCTTTTGAAATTATGAGTATCTAGAAGACAAGTTCTGGGTATATTAAGATTTTTTTTTACTAGTACCAGGTGTTTAATAAACCTCTTTACAATGACAAGCTTGATAGTAGGTTTTAATCAAGTATTTGTTATCTCTTAGGAGGGGAATCATAATGGACAAGCTCCTTCAAGTCACAGTTTTCATTTGATAACATTTACACAAGGCATAGTCCATGCCAGTAACATCCACTCAGAAAATTACAATATGAATACAAACTTATAAAGCTACATACAAACTTGCAAATATCAAATACTTATCTAAATATTACAAGTAGAATGTATGACTGGCACACCTACAGATTGCCCAGTGGGATTAAAAATAAAATGGCTGGCTATTCTTTATGGGTATGGCTATAAGCTGTACACCTGTGTTTTGCAGGCGACTGTTACTTGAAGGACTGGTCTTCGTGGAGCCTGTGTCAGCTGACCTGTGTGAATGGCGAGGACCTAGGCTTCGGTGGAATACAGGTCCGTTCCAGAGCTGTGATTATACAAGAACTGGAGAATCAACACCTGTGCCCAGAGCAGATGTTGGAAACAAAATCATGTGATGGTAAGTGCTATAATTCAGGAAATACACTCATTTTAATTTTGTGTTGATAAGCAAATGCACAAGATTTAGAATTTTCTGTTAAATAAGCAAATTTGCCAAGATCTCACTTAAGACTGAGAATTCAATTAAGGGCATGATTCTGAACTTTAAAGACTTAGAGGAAGAAAATCTTATCATCCTTCATAAATTAGAGACGCAATTTTGTGAAATTGTCTCCCACTTTTATGAGATAAAGAAGGCTGAGACAATTATAACAATAACACCTATAAGAATCCTAATCATGTATGACTCTAAAAATATACTCAATGTATGTAAATCAAAAGAATGAATAAATAAAAATTACAAATCTACAGCAAAATGAGAGATTTTATTAAATTTTCAAAAATTGATAAATAAAAGTACTGGCAAGAATTACTCTAAATTTGACATATACCTATATTCAAATAGGTATATATATATATATACATACACACACAAATATAGAGCCATGCACCAAATATAAGTAAATTTAAAAACCACAGAGCATTAAAATATCAGTTTTGGAACACAGACAAAGTCTAAATGAAAACAAAATAATTGCTATCTAGTGGAGATCAAAAGGAAGGAGTATAAAATAGAATCACGAATTGGAGCCAAATATCACATTTATTAATGAAAAGTTAGAGGAGAAAGCTTAGAAGTTGGAGTCGGGGGCTTAAAATGAAAGGCAAATGGTCTAGACGACTTCACCCAAGAAATAGAATTATCTACCATGTCAGTTGAATCTTCCCAAACTTACCAGATAAAACATTCCCTGTATCCTGGGACAGGGTAGGTGAAGAAGTAGAGAAACGTCAGGGGTTACAATAAGTGAAGTGATTTCCAAGGAAAGAGAGAGAATCGTTTAGCCCCAAATGAGAGTGTCATAAAATTACACATCAATAACATTACAGTTGAGAAAGAAACCCCCCGCAGGCACACAGAGTAGTAACAACCGAAAACCACACTTTTAGAGCATTACTTACTAAATGTTGTGTCTTATTTAGAAGACAACTGAAAGTCTTAAATGCTCAGATAGGAGGGAGAAGAGTTTAAAATGAGCTAAGCTTTCAACTCAATTTTTTTTTTAAAAAAGGAAACTGTAACCAATACAGATAAATACAAATTCAATGAGATAGAAAAAGAAAAAATACAACACAAGATAATCAACAAAATCAATAGCTTGTTTTTTGACCAAACTAACAAAATAGACCACATAATGCAAAATCATTGAAGAAGAAAAAAGAAAAATCGATACTACTACACATAGAATAGTGTTTAGAAAAATATCATTCTGTGAATAAATTTTGCTAGTCAATGTAAAAACTTAAAAGACATTTAGAATGTTATTATAATTTACCAAGAATAACAGAGAAGCTAAACCCATGGATTCTATAACTATTAAGAACTCAAATCTATCAAATATGCACTCACACATGCACACAAACTAAAACCAAAGTGGCTTTAATTATGACTTTTACCAAAATTTAAAGAAACAGACAACTCCCAATTATGTGAAATCCTGAGAAGCAAAACAAAGTTGAGTGGGGAAAAAGGGGGAGGGAAGTCTCCTCAATACAACACCAAAAGCCTAAACAAAAATGGAAAGGATAAAAATGCATTCAAATTAAAATTTAAACCTTCTACACAGTAAAATAGACCATAAACAAGGTTACCGGACAAGCCACAGACTTAAAAATGATACTCGTGGTATCAGTTATATTCAAAGGATTAATGTCTAGAACAATTCTAAAACTGTTCAGTCCAAGACAGTTTTATACTCTTAAAATTGTTGAGGACCCCAAACTGCTTTCCTTTTGTTATAAAAATTTATCATATTAAAAATGAAAACTGATATGTGTTTGAATATTTGTTCATTAATTTTAAATAATCATAAACCAATTGTATGTTACTATAAATAACATATTTCCTGAAAAATAACAATTTCCAAAAACAAAAAGAAAAATAAATCTAATAACAAGCATGGTCTTGTTTTACACTTTTTCAGGTCTCTATAATATATGACTTAAAGAAAGAGCTGGATTCGTTATCTGTTCCTATTCAATCTATTGCAATTTTAGTTTAGTTTATGTACAGGGTGGGGCAAAAGTGGATTTACAGTTGTGAGTACAAGAAACACAGAGTTTATTTATTCTTGTATTATTATTTATTGTTGTATTATTTTCCATATGAACAACTGTAAACCTACTTTTGCCCCACTCTGTAGATAACGAAAATCCTACCTTTCACAGATGTCACATGCACATACTCTGAAATAGTGTCAAAGTCTGCTGTGGCGTTGTCGTAACAGCAAAAAATTGAAAACTGAAAGTCCACCCTTAGAGGAAATAGCTAAATAAATTATAGTATGTAACATTTTAGAATGATTCAGAGTGTGATAGTTTATTTTAAGACTGACTAAAAGTAATACTTTATATCATCTATGGGTGTATACACTCATATTTATTGTGTATTTATATTAAAAGAATAAAAATGGTCACATATACCTACTTCAGAATAGTGAGTATTGCTGGACAGACATGGAGCAAAATCAGATCAGAAAGGAATACAATAGGACATCAAGTTTATCTATTTATGTTTTACTCAACAGGCAAAAAAAACTAAACCAAATATGGCTAAANATAATGAAAATCCTACCTTTCACAGATGTCACATGCACATACTCTGAAATAGTGTCAAAGTCTGCTGTGGCGTTGTCGTAACAGCAAAAAATTGAAAACTGAAAGTCCACCCTTAGAGGAAATAGCTAAATAAATTATAGTATGTAACATTTTAGAATGATTCAGAGTGTGATAGTTTATTTTAAGACTGACTAAAAGTAATACTTTATATCATCTATGGGTGTATACACTCATATTTATTGTGTATTTATATTAAAAGAATAAAAATGGTCACATATACCTACTTCAGAATAGTGAGTATTGCTGGACAGACATGGAGCAAAATCAGATCAGAAAGGAATACAATAGGACATCAAGTTTATCTATTTATGTTTTACTCAACAGGCAAAAAAAACTAAACCAAATATGGCTAAACGGTAATATTTATTAAATGGAATGATGCGTAATTGAATTTTTTTTTAGTTACTCTTTGTCCTTGCCTATATGTTTGGCATTTCTTAGTGTCTTAAATAAAACATAAATTAAAAATGCAGGTTTCATAGATAGTGCAACAGCAGATATGGAAAATTAGTTGGGATTTAGGTGTATATCTGGAATTTTATAACGTACGGCAACTTCAGGACAACAAATTGACGTTTGAATCATTTGAGATGGTCTTCTTATTACTATTCAGTGGCTTATAAATATTTAATTAATACTCTATCACCATGATTATCCTCTGGACAGCAGAGTGCTTCTGTTTGTGTTTCTTGTGTCCCTGCAGATGGACAGTGTTATGAGTATAAATGGATGGCTAGTGCTTGGAAAGGCTCTTCTCGGACAGTCTGGTGTCAAAGGTCAGATGGTGTGAACGTAACAGGTAAACCTTCAATCTCTCTCTGTTCTTTGAAAGTCTTCCTGTAACCCACGTGTAATAGGTTAAAGAAAATAATTCAGAAAACAAAGACATCGTTTCGGTATTCGACACATGGTTGGATTCAGGACACCTGAGCTGTATACCTGTCTGGGACCAATGACAGATTATTTTCTTTTTTAATGTTTCATTCTCCCTCACCCAGCCATTTTAGAGATTGCCACTAGAATTTATTTAATTAAAACACTGTCTAACTCTAACCAATGATTATTATAAGTAAATAACTCTCAGATTGTTTTTACTAGAAATTTTACACATAAATAACTCACTATATGATAAAATAATTTTCTGTTGACTATATCTGTTTCTGTGTCTTAAAAGGCTAAACACTCACAGACAAAAAATATTTTCAAGGGCATATGATTACACAAGTCACAATATCTTATTTGAATTCAGAAATCTATGATTTATATAGTTTTTACTAATAGGCAAGAACCATTGGTAAATCTCCAGCCCAGAGCATCTGAGCAGCTCACCTACTCTGTCCCCACACAAAAATGATTACATACCCAAAGAAGAAATCCAAATGAAGAACTTTTAAGAATGTCCTTTATTTACCCAAATTTACCCCCAAAGAACTACTCTAATCTGCATTATTAAAAGTGTCCTTATCTGAGACCAATAAAGGCAAGGGATCCCAAGGATTCCTTTGAGGAGCGGAAGAAACTTGACTCCCAGTACTTAGTGAGGTGAGCCACTCTGCAAATCTAGAAAGAAACCGAGGTCGGAATCCAAACCTCAACCACAGGCGCATGACCCAAAGCTGTCTTGTCTCTTCTTAGTTTATTTTTATAGATCTAATTTACAGGAATCTCCATTGCATAACAGTAGCATGTGTACTGCAGTTATCTGTTCAGGGCGACCTGCTGGCAGGGAGGAAAAGTGATGTGCATTTGGGTGCCTCTGAGTGTATCCATTTATAAAGTTAGCTGTAATATATACAGTAAGATAACAGGAGCAGGGATCAATATGCTTTTTGGAAAGCATCAATTTTTATATTGAATTCTAAATTACCTGGACTTATTGAAACCTAATTCCTTATTTCCTCCCTGTGAAAGTGGGAGCAGGATGTCAAATTGTATTCTTGTGAAGATACGATTTTATACATGAGAAATCTATATCAAGAAGCCCTTGATAATAGCGACTCCCAGTGGACACGTGCGTAACGTAGAAAAGACACCTTCCAGGAAACCCTTTGCTCTCTCGCAGTATCTGCTTCAGCCACACCGCTCCAACAGGAGGGAGAGCAGAGGCTTTCTGAACTGGAGGGCATTGTGGAGGGGTCCTCTCAGCTGGGGGGTTCAAAACGAATATCTACAGTCGCCTTTGAACTACCCAGAAAGAATTTTACAGTTTCCCCAGAGTTTCCCATTAGCTTTCAGTGTTGTTGTTTTTCCCCAATCAAGGTTGCAAATAATACCTGTCTGCCTTTTCTTCTACTGTTAAAATCTCTTGTCCCCCTGAAATTGGGGCTATTCCCCAATGCAAAGGTAAGTCCAATTTTAAAAGACTTCCTTGTAGGAATCGTATTTCCCATTTCTTTTTAATGCAGAATAGTATTCAGTGTATTTATTTCTTAATACTGTTTGACACCAAAAAGCCAATGTGTAACTGACTCGTGATAAACTTTATCTGCATTCCTTCCCTGTCTTTTAGGAGAGATGAGAAGTAGACAGTCGTAAAATATATTACCTACCTGGATGGGTTGCTTTAATGATGTGAACAGTTACAAGAAATTCAGGCTCTTGTTTTCATTTTTCTTCGTGTGTCTGATGATAATAACGTCAATATGGCCATTTAACTGCAGCTGCCTGGCAATGACTAACTGCTTTCCATAACACTTTTTCTATGAATATTTTGTCTATCATCTTGCGAGATTGAGGCAAAGAATTAACAATAGTCATCTCTGAGAAACCCCAGAGGATCATCAATTCCGTAAATAAAGGAAAAACGTTGCTAAAATCCTATTAAACTGTACAAGAACAGTTCGAAACTATGAGTTCCTTCCACATCACTAACATTGTTTCTTTATGACATCGATCCCCATCTTGATATAACAACCTAGGCACACTTGGTACTAAACTGGAAAAGCAGAAAAAAGAAGAGGGATCAGTAGACAGCTGCAATGCCGAGTGAAAACAACAGCGCAAGCACACCACTTAGTAGCTTTATTTGTTTTCTTCCCCCCCCCCAAATCCTGAATTAGCAGGAATAGTGATTTTTCTGAAAAAGAAACACACATTATAAAAATGCATGAATGTGTTCCTCCATAAAGATATGAAAACCATTTCTCTGACTAGCCAAGGAAGAATTTTAACTTTAAAAGAAAATTAAATTGTCTTTTTAGTGCCGGACTTGGCCTCGGGAACAATGACAGAAACAGCTTGCGTGCAGTGAGGGTTTCCAGAGTAGCAACGATAAAAGCTCCTGTTCAGCAGGTGCGTGCGGAGCGCCTGCAGCGAGCTCGGCGCTGGGCCGGCTCCTCGGGGCCTCCGCTCCTAAGTCAAGCGGCCAAGGTTAACCACAGCAGAGGCCAAGGTTAACCACACAGTTCGCAGTCAGCCGCCCTCAGCAACATGCGAGGATCCTAAGGTGGTTTAGGATTCGAAGACAAGCCTATAACAACCGTGTATTTGTGTCATCGCAAGAGATACTCCTTGTCAAAACGTGGTTTTCTGTTCCGCAGGGGGCTGCTTGGTGGTGCGCCAGCCCGATGCCGACAGGTCCTGTCACCCACCGTGTAGTCAGCCGCACTCGTTCTGTAGCGAGGTATGTGTGAACTCATTGGGGCGGACCAGCCAGCTTCATCATTTGCCACCTCACTGCCTCCTGTGCAGTCATTTCCCTTTACAAAAAGCACGTCTTCGGGCATAAAAATTCTNGCAGAGGCCAAGGTTAACCTCAGCAGAGGCCAAGGTTAACCACAGCAGAGGCCAAGGTTAACCACACAGTTCGCAGTCAGCCGCCCTCAGCAACATGCGAGGATCCTAAGGTGGTTTAGGATTCGAAGACAAGCCTATAACAACCGTGTATTTGTGTCATCGCAAGAGATACTCCTTGTCAAAACGTGGTTTTCTGTTCCGCAGGGGGCTGCTTGGTGGTGCGCCAGCCCGATGCCGACAGGTCCTGTCACCCACCGTGTAGTCAGCCGCACTCGTTCTGTAGCGAGGTATGTGTGAACTCATTGGGGCGGACCAGCCAGCTTCATCATTTGCCACCTCACTGCCTCCTGTGCAGTCATTTCCCTTTACAAAAAGCACGTCTTCGGGCATAAAAATTCTACTTTGGGACCTCCCCTCTTATCAATATAAACAATTCTGAATGCGCTTGCTTCCCCTGTGAGAATAAGCTTGGGTGTGGTACAAAAAGTGTGATGTTTTTTATGTGGCGAAGACAGAAATTATGTGTAGCAAATCCCCCAGACAGTGCCCTGTTCAAGTCAGGCGTGTTGTGCCTTCGAAAGCCCCCTGTATGCCCAGGAGGAATCTCCTTGTTTTCCTGCAGACCAGGACATGCAGTTGTGAAGAAGGCTACACTGAAGTCCTGTCGTCGAACGGCACACTCGAGCAGTGCACGCTGATCCCCGTGGTGGCGATCCCCACCGTGGAGGACACGCGGGGAGACGTGAAAACCAGTCGGGCCGTGCACCCGACCCAGCCCTCCAGTAAACCGGCGGGACGGGGAAGGACCTGGTTTCTGCAGCCATTCGGGCCAGGTGAAGTGACCACACAGTGTTGATGTAGAATCCGTTAGTGCTGCACTTACCCGGTGCCAAGTGATTAAAAAATGGGCAAGCATTTTCATATGAGCTATTTCGCATTTTACCGAAACGCAGTTGTTCTGATGCTGCCATAGAATCTTATAATTATTTTACTGGTGTTATGAAAAAAAGCACTCATGCTCAAAAGTTCAGAGAAATGAAATTACTTTCTTATGGGGGAAAAAAAATTAGGACTGATATTAGGTATTCAATCTTGGTCCTAAATTTACAAGTATTATAGTTATTTTCACACTGAACAAAGAAATCTAATGAAAATACTAATTGGGGGGAAAGCCTGTTGTCATTCAGTACTGGAACAAATAAAACTATAAAAACATTCAAGAATTTTCCATTTGACCACAGGGTGGTAATAATTTGAACCTAAAACAGGAACATTAGTAATGCAGTTCTGTGCCGGGGGTGGGGTGGGGGGGAGGCAGTAGGTAGCCAGACCAACTTCTGTTGGTCCTTAGAGTCGGCACACTCAAAATCTCAGAATCTACACTAGCACCAGATACACAGGGGGTGGGATGGAGCCTTCTTGTCTAGATGGACCATGTTGGAGACTAACCAGACCCTTGTCATATTAGACAGCTCTTAATGTGTCTAGTAATGGACTTGAAGCCTATACAGGCAAAAGCTTGAAGGCCCAATGAAATGCTATTCCTCTCGGTACACTTTCTCTCTCCAGTGGACTCAACCATACACTTATCCCTAGAAATAAGCTGATGCTTAAAAATGTGCTATGAGGGCCACATGTCACTTTTTCTCACAGCAAGAGGGATTACTAGTTCATGACCAAAGGAAATCTCCAGGCAAAGCGAGGCACAGACTACTTGATATCTCTGTCAGAAACATGAGAAAGGAAGGAAGAAATGTGCATCGCTAACACATCTCTATTTCTAATGCATTAAGTCAAAACGCTTTCCCTTACTGGAGAATCACTATTGAAATTTTTTTAAAGTATTTGCAGTATTTGGGGTGATTCACATTTAACCACATTATCCATACCTTGATTAGGTTTTTAGCTGAAAAAAACATTTATTTTGCAAAGCTGACCTATCTGTGTAAACGTGGGAAACTCTCTCTCAATGTTCAAGACAGTGAACAGCAAATAGCCATTAGTGATCTTGACCTTGACTGAGAATCCAAGTAGGTCTTCTCACATCAAACTGGTTTTTAAAAAGAGAGGGTATTATTGTCATATTTAATTTAATATGTAGTTTCCCTAAAGTAAACATCTTAATATACTACAGAAGTACATTTAGACCCCGTTCTTGGTTTTTGAAAAACCCAAAGAATATTTGTTGAAGAACACTCAGGGCACATAAACCCAACAGTGGAAAAGCTCTTTTTATTTCAAACCCAGGCTTAAATTTCGTAAATATTTAGAATTGACAAAAAAGGATATTTAAAATATTAACTTATTTCCAGAAAATGAACCCATAAGTTGATCTAGGGGTAAAAAAAAAATTAACAGTATTGATTTGCTTTCAATGCCATTCAGATATTGACTAAACCAGAGTCTCTATGGGGTCAATTTTCCCAATCTATAATTTAACACTAACATATGTTTAATTGCATGTATGCAACAGAAAATATATGTTCTGTGAGGATCAACTTAAGTTAGCAAAGTCATTAATAGTGTCTTATGTTTGAAGTTTATTCTGAACATAAAACTGAGAAGTTCAAATAGAATGAGACCGGAAAACCAAATTAGAAGAGTCTCTGTCCTATCTGATTTCATATACAGATTTTCCCCTGCTATCCAAAAGGAGTGTTCTCTGAAACTTTTCATAAGCCCAGCTGGCATAAAGCGAAGAAGCAGCTACCACTAATTTATATGGGAAAAATTTTAAGTGGCCTCAGACCCAGAAAATCACCTACTAATTCATACCAAATATGCTTAATTACGTTCAGCTTTCCTCTAAGCATAACATCCGTATGAGCTCTCTTAGCCTTTTCCTTAGGACACATCTTGCTCACAGATGCACACAGTAAATCGAGATAAAGCTCGGATGCTCACACAGTTCAAAGCTCTGGAGCTGATGCTGAGATGCTGGGTGTGGCTTCCAGGGAAGGAGCTTGGCGGGGCCTTTTGCTGCCTGGAGGGGATGCTACCCTCTGTAACACTCACTGCTACTCTTGCTTTCTGCTTTTTTTTTTTGTAAAAGAGAAAATCATCTTAGGATTTCTTTCAATTATCGAAAACAGGTGGTAATGTACATCTTCTATAAAAGCGAAGGGAGGCAACAAGAACTTTCAGAAAGCAGGGAATACCTGTAATAGAAAAGGGAGAAAGAAGTTATTTGGAGATCCTTTTATATGTTAATCAAACTTGGTTATTTTTGCAAATGATATTGTCAAATCAGCGTTAAAGGACACTGTAAGTGTAAACTAGATAAAAGATTATTAATTCCCAAAATTGTTAATATATTCATTTTCAGTTTATCAGGGGGAAAAACTTTAAAGTGACAAAGTTTATGTTCAAATACCTGTCTGTGTCAACTCTTAAGTTGCAGGACTTTCATGAAATTGCATTATTTTTCTTTTTTCATAATTGCCAATCTCAAAATAGAATGAAAATCAAAAGAAAATGTTTATGTAGCACTAGGAATATATTGGATTTGAATCAAAATGCAGATAAGCAGCAGGAATTTAGACATATTAACTTGAAATCTGAACTCAAATTGAAAATATTACTTATTACCTTTAAATTCCATTTTCATTGATAATCTTTAATGAAGGGGCATCTAACTCATAATAGCAGCTTTGCATTAATCATTAATTGTGCCTAAGCAATAATTCACTTTGAGTTTTGAAAGGACTTGGCCATATGTGACTCGTCCATTGGTCATAGTTAAAGACTGTGATTTACACGCCAGACTAATATAAATTAATGATTAATATCCATTCTTCTTAGATGGGAGACTAAAGACCTGGGTTTACGGTGTAGCAGCTGGGGCGTTTGTGTTACTCATCTTTATTGTCTCCATGATTTATCTAGCTTGGTGAGTGTTTAAATATTTCAACATCTAAGAGGATATATAATCTCTCTCTTTTAGAGGAAACACTTTCAATGGACCATAACACAGGAATGGCAAAACTAATGTCTCATATAAGTATCCCACGTTTATTTAGCGTTCATCTGAAGTTCTACATAAACATGGCTTTAGTCTTTGTCTAAAATCTACTAAACCCAAGTCACTTAGTGTCCAAAGATGAGCCAGCGCTGTTCTAGGCCATATTCTCAAGTACGTTCTTCTTGGTTATGCAAGAGAATATGCTTATGGTGAACAGTAGAGGTTTATATTGAATTAGCACTGGAGGAAGAGATTATGGTAATACCTGATCTCATCCAGCTATCTTTTTAAGCATGCATTATTTACAAATTATGGATTATTTATAAAGGGTTCTGGCCAAACAGAAATGATTACACTATAATGTTATTTCTGTTGTTAGTACTAGAGGAATTCCATTTGTGTAATTAATCTTTTACAGGAAAATAAAATAGTTGAAGGGTTGTGTTTCAAGTTTATTGAGAGCATAAAACTGAGAAATTCAAAGGTACCAGAAAAATCAAATTTAAAGTTTGAATTTAGGCAATGTAGGCAATTAAGTAATTTAGGTATATCGATAAGTTTCAAACTTTTGTCATTTAAAACAGCAAAATTTACAATGGAAGATTGATTTTTTTTCTTCTCCCAATTTGAATGATTGTTTTAACAGCAAAAAGCCAAAGAAACCCCAAAGAAGGCAAAACAACCGACTGAAACCTTTAACCTTAGCCTATGATGGAGATGCAGACATGTAAAATATAACTTATCCCAGCAACAACCAGTTTCAGCTTTCTGACTTTGCAGTAGATATCCAGAAGCCACAGAGCTATTCAAACTGTGTGGATTAAAGCGAATTGTACCTTTTAAAAAGAACATCAAGAAAAGTGAAAAAAATCACAGTGCCATTGGAGATACCAAGACAGTACCACTTACACAGAAACCATCAGCCCTAAGAAGTCTAGGAGATTAGGTTGAATACATGCTGCCTTCTGAGAGTTTTGTGTGATCTTTCCTGAAATCTACCAACTGGCGATGTACTTTCATCTCTAAACTATGGTGGTGGAATTGGCCTCTTGGGATGCCCGATGCAAGCGTCTGTCTGCAGCGTTCACCCATAGTCACATTTTAGCATGAAGAGTTTATACCAAGATCTCTACAATACTATAGGCAAGCGTAACACCACGTATACTCAACTGAATGGTACCCATTATTATATCAGATTATATACTTGGTAATAAGCCATTTTAATGCTCTAAGCTGAGCAGAAAGCCCATTGAGTAAATTCAGCATTTCGTAGTTGATGGTAGCTTTTATTGACCTGCATTTCAGAGGCAAAGACTTTTTTTTATAAGACTTAATTCTTGTCTTTCTCCAAAGTACGAATGCTGGACATGTACTAGTACCTTAGAAGAGTCCTCAAGTTGAGTATTTTATAGTGGTTATTGTCTGGAAAACTAATTTGCTTGTGTTCATACAATAAGTTTCTACTTTCCCCAAATTCAGACTGGTTGCCTGCATCTTTTTTGCTAAAATGGAAGGCACATTTTTGCACTATATTAGTGCAGCATGATAGGTACTTAACTGGTATTGCCATGGAAACTGCCTCTTTTCATATGGGATGGAGACATCTATGCCGAGAGTGTCATGGAGACATTTACGCCTTCCTGTATCCTGAAGAGAGTCAAGTTCATTTTGGATGGCGACAGGATGGAATTAGCTCTTACACCTGCTGCATACACCTCTCCTCATCGCTGCAGCCACTGTGACATCAACGTGGCGGTAATTGAAGTGTTTAAGTCCCAAACCTGTTAATTCTCCAAAAGATGGACCCCTCTAGTTGGTTTTTAATCGTACTTTGAAGGCTGTTTATGACTAGATTTTTATATTTGTTATCTTTGTTAAAAAAAGAAAAGAAAAAAAAAGGAGCTGGTTGTCTTTTTAATTTTGAGCAGATGGAGAAAATAATGTATCGATGATTTTTGTACCTAAAAGAAACCAAGATTGTGTGTTGACTTTTCCCCCGGATTTGTTTTCCTACTTTCAGATCAAATGTATTTCGAAATCCATAGTGTTGTCATCTCACTGGTAAAAATTGAAGTGGTCTTTTTAACTTATGATTTCAAAAACTAAAATTTTTTTAAAAAGAGAAGAGTAAGTATTTTGTCCAGGGCTTAAATATCAAGACCAAGGGCAGCAAACTTTTTCTGTAAAGAGCCAAAGTGGTAAATATTCTCAGCCAGGTCTATGAGGCAACTTCTCAATTCTGCCATCGAGAGAACACAGCCATAGGGAGTACATAGGGCATAAAGGAATCAGCATGGGTGTTTTCCAATAAAATGTTCTTTAAAAAAAGTCAGCAAGCCACATTGGCAGGTTGTGGTTTGCTGACTGCTCGCCTAGAAGTTTTTTTCAATGTTAACTCTCCATTGTGTCATCTTTGGTTTTCATTCATTTATGCTCAGACTGAAATCAGTGTTTCATTTCAAAGATTAAAACAGTCCTTAAATGTATCCCTGTGTTGGAAGCAGCTATATTTTTTACAGCTGTAGGCCTGGGAGGGACACAGTGAAATAATATCTAACGTGGCAGACTTCTTTCATAGGAAAAGAAAATTCAAAAGGTGCCACTAAAAAGCAATACTATTTTTCAGGCAACTTTTTACTACAATGGATTTTGGGAGGGGGGAGGACATTAGGGTGTCAGGTCTTTTAAAAATAGTATAACAGCTATTTTTATCTTAACTGTAGCTGTGTTGCTATAAAAGTGGTTTGGACTAACTAGAAGGTATTTACCTTCATACTAGAGTTTGAACTCCCCCTGCTGTTCCCTGAAGTATTTGCAAAATTATGGAAGTCATCAGATTAGGATGCCATTGTCCCCCAAATGAACATGTTTCAATAAGAATGAAATGTGGTAAATATGAATTTGTTATTTAATAGTTATTGTTTTAGGTAATGTAAATAATTTCAAAACAAACAAGTAGTCAGGAAGATGAGACTTTTACCTTTAACCAAGGAATTAAATAAGGAAAAGCATAGAAACAAATTCCACTTCATCTGTCTTATCAAAGAGGAAGAAAAAAATAACAGCGTTACTCTAAAACTGTGATTGGCAATACATGTACTCAGGAGTCTTCCAGATCGTTGATCTCTTTGAATTAAGCAAATTCCATTTGTCCAAAGTAGTTGAGAATCTATTGCAGTTTCTTGAAGAATTCAGCTTAACAATCTTTTGAAATGCGTGCAACACCTAATAACTTTGAAATTATTGAATAAAATAAAATACCATTGCTACTAAAGCTGCACCTATAATACTGTAAAATGTCATTAATGCAGAAGGCAGATCAGTATCATCCTACCTTTATTGTAAGAATTAAATGAATCAATCAAAATTATAAAATGTTATGAAAATACAAGATGGTTTTAGTCATAAATTGATTACACTTTACAGCACAATGCTATGTGCAGGAGACTAGGTGTAATGTGGCCTAACACTGGAGCATGCTGGAAGTTCATTGTTAGATGAATAAATACTGGATGGCCTCTTGTTAGAAAGGTTGGAAGGAGGAGAATGTGGCAAGCTGGCTATTTTGGACAAATGAAAGTTACTGTATTCATGTTTATAGCATGAAAATGGCCTTATTTTTTTCCCCTGGCATGAGTCCATAATGAGTTAAATCCCTTGCTGAAATGTCATCAGAACCATATCCCCGCTGCTCATTTGTTAAGAATTCAGGAGGGGAATCGAGTAAAAACTCGTCTGTTGACACTTTTGCCTTACCCAAATGGTCTGAGCCCGAAAGGATGTAGAACTACTGTCGTATAAGTATGAAGGTCTGCTTGGTTTGAGAAAACAACAGGAGGGAATACTGACACGGTTTTATGCAACTGGGCTGGACGGTCTCAATACGAGCCACACAGAAGCGGCCTCACTGATCCCTCGGGGGCTCGGCTTGGCCACTCATCAATACCTTATCTCTCGGGCCTTGACCGTAATCCTTACTTCAAAGCCTTTTCGAGGACACCACAGTGTAGCTTAAGCTGATTTGAGAAGGAGTGCATGAAAGCATATTCTTGATTACTTGCAACAAAGCACAAATTACTTATAACAAGACAGATATGTATTGAATTATCACAGGTAAGACACTCTGCTTTGGCACTGTAAAAAAAATTAGTAACTGCTTTTGTATACGTATGTACCTGAGATATTCAAAAGAAGGGGGAAATGCTTAACAAATCACAACAGCACTTAACACACATCCCCCGTTACTCTAGGTCTGTTTCCCGGTGTGGTCAGTTCTCTCTCCCTATGTACCGGCCCTGTCTCAGGCCCGCTGTCAGGCTTTCATGCACCCCGCCCCCACCGTCAGGCAGGTGGCAGAGGCCTTTAGGGCTTAATCAGAACTCCTCTGAGTTCCTGGGCACTGCAAGATAGAGTCATTTAATTTACAGGATGTAAGCAACACCTCTCACGATTGTTTTTTACCCCCTCTAACTCTATATCCTTGCTTCTTTATGATGACTCTGTGCCTGGTCTTTCTCTGCTCTTACCAACAACTAATCTTGTCTGCTCTCCTCAGACCCACCTCCTATGAAACATGCCCACATTTTTAATAAGAAAAGGCAAGAGGCGAATACCTGTATTTTCTTCCTATTGGAGTCAGTGTCACTTAGAGTGTGAACATGATGATTTAAACAGAATGTACTGGTCAGACGTGAGGAAGGGGAAAGATGCAGATGACACGCTGAAAAAAAAACCCAAACACCCTTTCCTGCAAAAATGCCAGTTCCTGTACTCGATTTATTACAACCCAGTATTCTCCCATCTCCGTCTTGCCTCCTTCGTGTCCCACGCGGCAGACACTGAGAGAGGCCTGTACCTTTCCAGACACCAAGGACAGCCCATCCTTACACTGACCCGGGGTCTGAATCAGTTCGCAAGAGTCATTCCCAGATGATCTGGGATCTCACGGTTTGTAACAGTTTTACCAAACTCGGATGTGTTTCTTGTTCTGTCTCCCCTCTAAGGTGGAGGGTGTGGAAAGGGCAGGCCAGGGACAGATCTGGGAGGAATCCTGCATCGGCGTGGTCTCTTCTGGGTGGAGCTCAGCCTTGAGGGCCGAGTCCTCCTGCCCCGCCTGCCCCGCCTGGCCGGGCCTGGGCCTGGGCCTGGGCCTGGGCCTGAGCCTGAGCCTGAGCCTGAGCNTCCTCCTGCCCCGCCTCCCCCGCCTGCCCCGCCTGGCCGGGCCTGGGCCTGGGCCTGGGCCTGAGCCTGAGCCTGAGCCTGGGCCTGGGCCTGAGCCTGAGCCTGAGCCTGAGCCTGAGCCTGAGCCTGAGCCTGAGCCTGAGCCTGAGCCTGAGCCTGAGCCTGAGCCTGAGCCTGAGCCTGAGCCTGAGCCTGAGCCTGAGCCTGAGCCTGAGCCTGAGCCTGAGCCGGCCGACGGCGGAGCAAGCTTTCAGGTCTGAAACAGGAGAGCGGGCCTCGCACACATCGCTCTTTATAAAAAGGATGTGTGATGTGATAATTCTGTATCTAGCAGGGACACTGAAAAAATGGGTAAGTCCACATTACTAAATAAGCAAAAGAAATCCTAAAGGGATAGAATTTGTTTTGTAGTTTTATGTTTTCAAGCTTCTACCAAGCCAGACTTTAAAATGGGCAGTATATGAAGACTTTTAATTTGTGGGAGTCATGTTTTCAGCAATCAAACCTCTCTATTTAGATATATAATTGGGTGTCAGTTTTATTGTGCTTTGTAGATGTTCTTTTTTTTTTTTTCAAAGCCATAGTTTCCAGATCACTACTTTGACCCTTCAATGAACTTTTCTCAACATTTTTCAGGAATCTATTTTGTTTCTTTTTTAAAAGTAAACATTAAGATTCCCTTTCTGGTACTTTTTCCTGCATATTTCTAAAAGAGATTTGAAGAGATCAGTATGTGTCACTGTAAAATATAACTTTATTAAATTTGCAGTATGTCTTTCTTTAAATTATAAATGTGGTTTTGGGTTAATTTAATTACATAAATATTTATTTTGTTTAAATAAGGAGGCAGCTGTCTAAGTTGTTAATATTATTTTGTAAATTATGTAATGTAATTTATTTTAAATTATGTACATTTTTTTTAACGCACAAAATGTCTATGTACTAATTAACTGCAAATTTGCAAATAATGCCACTAAGCTTTATTCAGTTAATGCGGATGGCATGTGAAGATGTAATATGCTTTTTTACATTTTCATATGGGTAATTTGTAAATAACTATGTTGCTGACAAACATAAACACGGAAATCATTTTCATTCTACTCATGTGTATCTGTTTTTATTTGCATCATTCGCTGCTCAAATGTGGGTTAAAATTTTTTTTTTAGTGAATGTCCAAATCCTTTCACTACTTTTATTGCCTGTTCCTGGGTCTTTTTTTAACAACTCCAATTTAGAAAGTTCAAAAGATGCAAACCTTTACTTTAAAAGTCTGCTGAGGCCACCAGATTAATCATCATAGACAAAGGACCTCTTGGTTTCCACACTTAAAAAACAAGGCAGGAGCTCACACATTAGCAAATTGATTCTTAAATTCCCCAAGTTAAGTAAGATTCACACATTTACAATTCAGGAAGGGATGCACAAATTAGATAAATTACTGTCAGGGTAGCTTGCAGTTAAAACATTTCTGAAGTAGCTGTTTGCTGAAATATAACTAAGCAGGGAACCCTTTAAAATACACTTAGCATAGGAACCATTCACAATATGAGCTCACCTCCGACTCATGACGTAAAAACAGTGATTTGCAGTCTTTTATTTTCTGTACTGTTCATTACAACTGAATCTAGATGAAAAAGTTTTTAAATACATCACCCAGATATTTTATATATATGGCTGGATATTCATAGTCAAATTCCTAACTTTGTTTTTTGTTTTACAACTCCGATTTATGTCCTGCAAACAGGAATAGGAACAGGACTGGGCTGCCTTCTGTTTGCTGCTGCTGAGTCCCTAGTGATTCCTCCCATTAAACTCTGAACACATTCCTAAGAAAAGCCAACACACACTTCAGTTCTCATCTGTCACTCTCGCAAGAGTGGGGAAAGGCGCAATACTTAAAGGCAGCCGTGCTTTCTCATATTGCAGCCTTTTTTTCTTTGATTTTTTTTTCAGATGACTTCCCCTCCCCCTTTCCACCTTCCTCCCTAGCGCCTCCCTGCAGAGGTAGCTCAATTTAACAATCTGACCTGTACCCTGCCACGTAAACATGCGGGGGAGGGGGGAGAGGGGAAGAGGGAGAAATGGGCTGACTTTAGTAGATAAAATTAGAAAACAGCTTCATTTTATTTCTATTACTGTTTTCAAACAGAGCAAAATGTCCTTTGTTCCACCCACCAGCCCTCCCACCATCCCACCCTTGCAATATCTAGGCCAAATGCCATTGTCTTTGGTCCAGTTTAACTTCCGAAAAAGTTCCAGTCCTGGCAAAAATAGAGCATCAATCCCTCTTATTGTTCTCATTTCCTTGACTACTAGCAAATCTGAGCAACTCCCGTTTTCTCATATCTGTTTTGGCTATTTGGGTTTGGTCTCTATTACATATAGTTTTTAAATGGCAACTCTAGTGATGCCAAGTGGCTATTAATTTTAGGCCATCAACAAAATTTTAACTTTTCAGTAAAGAAAAGAGACACTTCTGGATTTTATTTCTCCCAATTTTTTTTTTTTAATCCCAGGCAGAGATGCTCTTACAATGGCCCCTGCCACCTCACAGTCCCCCCACTTCCCCTGCTCTCGACTCTATTCTGAGCATGCTCACCTCTCTCTCACACTAACCTTTGAGGGCAGTGTCATATGTTAGTGCTAAAGCTAGACCCCAATCTTCTGTTAAAACCAAACACTTTTTGCAGAACTCTGCCCTGACTGTTACTTTTACGTGGAACACTCTTCCCTTCACTATAGACCTGGCTGCTCCCTCGGCTCACACAGGTCGCTGCTGAAATGCCACCTTCTCTGTGAAGCCTTCCTTGACCACCTCATCACTCTCTATCCTCATGCCCTTCTTTAGATTTTTTTTTTATGGCACCTGATATTATTTTGTTGTTATGTGATTTGTGTGAGTTTTTTTTAATCAGTCTCTCTCTTGGGAAAGAGAGGGGAAGACTTTATCTGTTTTGTTCCTTGACAGAATGAAGCCCAACACATAGTAAGAATAATGAATTCTTATTGGATGAATAAATGAACAAAACAATTAGTGAATGGTGAGGTTTTTATGGACAGAATGGTTAAAATTAAATAGATCAATTACAACAAAGAAGCCATT